TGGGTGATGCCATCACTGAGCACCCAGCAGAGCCTGTGGCGACTGATATGAACTGAGATGCCTATGCCAGCAGTAGGCAGTCTAGTCTTGTAGGATGCCCTGTTAGGAATGCAGTCCTCATCTGCCTAAAACGTTATGCATCCATGACTGACCTACTGAAAGAGACAGCATGGCTGAGCATGTAACCGCACGAACAAAAAAATACTGCAGAAAATGTGGAGAAAAGAGAATAAAAGAAAAATCCAACCTAGGATGGGAAGGTTATTGTGAGTTTGACTAATCTGAGCCACACAGTGAGGGCTATATAGCAAGATCCCATCGACGACGATGACGACCACAACGACGACAATACGCCGACCATGCCGTCTCCGACGACAATGACGACGACGATGATGACTACGACGATGACGATGATAAGGAACCACAGAGCCCACAACAACGGAGTGGGTACATACGGGCACTTAAGGCATCGCATCCATAGGCGAGAGCAGAAAGAATAAGCACATGGACCGCACTTTCTCGCTCTCTTAGTGCTCAGCTAGCTTTCTCCACTCCTATACAGGGCTCATGAGGTAGTGTTGCCCACAGAGCGCTGGGTCCCCTACATCAATTAATAATCAAGACAATTACCCACAGACATGCCCACAGGCCAGCCTGATCTAGGCAATTCCTCAACTGAGGCTCTTAATTGATTCTAGGTTGTGGCAACTTGACAATTAAAAACTATCAGGCACTGGAGAGATGTCTCCGTGGTTAAGAGCACTCCCACGGGGGCTTTTGTGGAGCCCCTGAGTTCTGTTCCCAGCAGCACCCGTGCCAGGCAGCACACAACCACCAGTGACTCCAGCTCCAGGGGATCCAAGTTCTGTTCTGGCCTTGGCTGGCACAAGCATCTCTCTCTGTCTCTGTCTCTGTCTCTGTCTCTGTCTCTCTCTCTCCCTCCCTCCCTCTCTCTCTCTCTCTCTCCCTCCCTCTCTCTCTCTCTCTCTCTCTCTCTCTCTCTCTCTCTCTCTCTCTGTGTCTGTCTGTCTGTCTCCATCTCTCTGTGTGTCTGTCTGTCTATCTATCTGTCTGTCTGTCTCTCTCTCTCTCTTTCATAAGTAAAAGCAACTGAAAGAGATCAAGGGGATACAAATTGCAAAGGAAGAAGTCAAAGTATCAGTGTTTGCAGAGGACATGATACTATACATAAGTGACCCAAAAATTCTACCAGGGAACTCCTACAGCTGATAAACACCTTCAATGAAGTGGCTGGATATAAGATTAACTTAAAAAAAATCAGTAGCCCTTCTATATACAAATAATAAATGGGCTGAGAAAGAAATCAGGGAAACAACATCCTTTACAATAGCCATGAATAATATAAACTATCTTGGGGTAACTCTAACCAAGCAAGTGAAAGACCTGTATGACAGGAGCTTCAAGTCTTTGAAGAAGAAATTAGAGAAGATATCAGAAGATGGAAAGATCTACCATGCTCATGAATAGGTAGGATTAACACAGTAAAAATGGCCATCTTACCGAAAGCAATCTACAGATTCAATGCAAACCTTATCAAAATTCTGACATAATTCTTCACAGATCTCAAAAGAACTCAACTTCATATGGAAAAACAAAAAACCCAAGATAGCTAGAACAATCCTGTGCAATAAAAGAACTTCCAGAGGTATCATCATCCCTGATTTCAAGCTGTACTATAGAATAATAGTAATAAAAACTGCATAGTATTGGCATAAAAACCGACAGATTGATTAATGGAATTGAATCAAAGACCCAGAAGTAAATCCATACACTTATGGACACTTGATTTTCGACAAAGAAGCCAAAATTATACAATGGAAAAAAGAAAGCATCTTCAACAAATGGTGCTGGCATAACTGGATACCTGCACATAGAAGAATGCAAATAGATCTACATCTATCACCCTGCACAAAACTTAAGTCCAATTGGACCAAAGACCTCAACATAAATTCATATACAGTAAACCTGAAAGAAAAGAAAGTGGGGAATAGCCTTGAGTGCATTGGCACAGGAGGCAACTTCCTGAATAGAACACCAATAGCACAGACACTAAGATCAACAATTAACAAGTGGGACCTCGCGAAACTGAAAAGTTTCTGTAAGGCAAAGGACACTGTCAATAGGACAAAACGGCAGCCCACAGATGGGAAAAGATCTTCACTAACTCCACATCTGATAGAGGGCTGATATCCAAAATATATAAAGAACTCAAGAAACTAGATATCAACAAACCAAATAATCCAATTAAAAATTGGGATACAGATCTAAACAGAGAATTCTCAACTGAGGAATATCAAATGGCTGAGAAGCACTTTAAAAATGTTCATTATCCTTAGCCATCAGAGAAATGCAAATCAAAATGACTCTGAGATTCCATCTTACACCTGTCAGAATGGCTAAGATCAAACACACAGCTGACAGCTAATGCTGAAGAGGATATGGAGCAAGGGGAACACTCCTCCACTACTGATGGGAGTGCAAACTTGTACAGTCACTTTGGAAATCAATATGGTGGTTTCTCAGAAAATTGGAAATTGATCTACCTCAAGATCCAGCTATACCACTCTGGGGCATATATCCAAAGGACGCTCCACCATACCACAAGGACACTTGCTTAACTATGCTCATAGCAGCATTATTTGTAATAGCCAGAACTCGGAAACAACCTAGATGCCTCTCAACGCAAGAATGAATAAAGAAAACGTAATACATTTACACAATGGAGTATTACTCAGCTGTTAAAAACAATGACATCAAGAAATTTGCTGGCAAGTGGGTGGAACCAGAAAAGAGAGTCCTGAGTGAGGTAACCCAGACCCAGAAAGACAAACATGGTATGTACTCGCTTATGAGTGGTTATTAACCATGAAGTAAAGGATAACCATCTACAGACCCAGAGAAGCTAAGTAACGAGGAAGGCTCAAGGAGGGGATGCATGAATCCCACTGTGAAGTGGAAATAGAAAAGACATTGCCCGTGGATGGGGTGGTGGTGGTCTGAGTGGGGATTAGAACAGAGGGATCAGGTGGGGGAGGATGGAGGGAGAGAGTCCTGGGAGAGACAACTGGATTGAGGGAGGGCATCTCTGGGACAAGCTAGAAACCTAGTGTAATGGAAACTCTCAGGAATCTATATGAGAGTGACCCTAGCTAAGACTAGGGAGCCCATCTCCCACACTGCCTGGAGGGCCAGGACCCAGAGGCTGGATGGCCCAGAGACCTTGGTTAGAACCGAACATGACTGACAAAAAAAAAAAGTCAATGAAATGATTCCTAATGATATTCTTCTGTAATCATAGATTGGTGCCTACCCCAACTGCCATCAGAGAGGCTTCCTCCAGCAACTGATGGAAACAGATGCAGAGACTCACAGCCAAACATTAGGTGGAGCTCGGGGAATCCTTTTGAAGAGGGGAAGGATTGTAGGAGTCAGAGGGGTCAAAAACACCCAAGAAAACCCACAGAATCAATTAACCTGGCCTCCTAGGGGCTCACAGAGACTGAACTGCCAACCAGGGAGCCTGCATGACTGACCTAGGCCCTCTGCACATATGATACAGTTGTGTGGCTTGTTCTTGTGGGACTCCTAACAGTGGGAGCACGGGCTGTGTGACTCTGTTGTCTGCTTTGGGACCCTTTCCTCCTACTGGGTTGCCTCATCAGCCTTAATAGAAGAGGAGGTGCCTAGTCTTCCTGCAATTTGATCTGCCATGGCTGGTTGATATCCACGGGAGGCCTGCCCTTTTCTGAAGAAACAGAGGCGTGGAGGGGGGTAAAGAGAAGGGAGTTGGGAGGAACTGGGAGGAGGGGCAGGGACTGGGGTTGGGATGTAAAAAAGTAAGAAAATTTAAAAATAGGTATATTTCATAGGATTATAAAGATAAAAGATGAAGGCAGTTTTGCGTAATGTGTTTAGTACTTTGTAGTGTGTATTATGCATGTAAAATTGCCACTGTGTTTTGATGGGGGATTTTTTTTTCCAGGATGTCGGTTAGACACCCAAATCCATGGATGCTGAAGTCTCTTCTATAAAATAGCACTGTATTTGAATAAAACTTGTGAGTATATATATAATCACAAGGGCAGAGGAGCTGGATTTAAGGCTAGTTTCCCACTGGCTAGCAAGCAGATCTTGGGTCAGGGTGGAGCCCACAGAGACCCCAGCTTGTGCCTTGTTTTCATACTGACTCAAGGTCAGAGTCCGAGCTTGTTTCCCACCCTCACCCCAACAATAGGATTTTTTTGTCCAAAGGCGTGGTTACCAGATGTCTTGAGTACTGAAGAGGTGTTTACATTTGACTCTACTTCATTCATACCTTGAACCATGATGTCTTTGAAAGGGGGAGGTCTTTTTGCCCCCCTTGCTTTGGGTATATAAAGGCTGTGAGTAATAAACTCAGGAGTCTGTGGTACTGACCCAGAGCCCTCCCGAAGCTATCCTGTGTCGCTTTTTCTTCATCTACCTCTATATTTCATAGCTATCATTTCTCAATTCCACACACCAGCCCCCTTCAGAACCCTTCGATAGGACTCGACAGGTCAATCATGTAACCACCTTGTTTCATATTGGGGAAGATCTACAGGCTGTGAGGTTCCTCTGCGACCTCGCGCGCCCGACACTTGGAAAATTCCCAAGCACTCTCCTAAGTTCAAGTTGTTCACAGTTTCTCTGGACCGAAGCCGGTGCGGGCTTGTGCTACTCTGTTCCCATGGGGACCCCTCTGATCTCCGTACATCAATCGGAGCCTTGCTCGGGCAGATTTACTTTCGGGAATCCCAAATCCACGCACTCGGGGCTCACCCGGATCATCTTGGCTATGACTCCCACTCAGACCCCCCGGTGCCTGAGCACCCAGCGCACGTGCGCATTGGGTGAGACCCCACCCTCACCCCACCAGAGCAGCTGGCGGGGCGGGATGGGGCGGGGCCCCGCGGCAGGTGGGGGCGGGGCGGGGCGGGGCGGGCCGTGCAGGAGCGCTGGGAGCTGCGAGGCGGAGAGGCGCGGGAGGCGCGCGGAGCCCAGGCCGATCCCGTGCGCGCGCCGCCATGCCCTTGGCCTTCTGCGGCACCGAGAACCACTCGGCCGCCTACCGGGTGGACCAGGGCGTCCTCAACAACGGCTGCTTCGTGGACGCGCTCAACGTGGTGCCGCATGTCTTCCTGCTCTTCATCACCTTCCCCATCCTCTTCATCGGTGAGCGCGCGCCGCGGCGGAAGGCGGGAGGGCGCGCGGGGGAAGGGCGCGCGGCCGGGGGGGGGGATGCGCGGCCCCGGCGGTCCCGCACCGACTAGCTGGTCTCCCTAGGTCCTCTGCTCTGCGTCTCCACCCTTGTACCTTTCCCCCTCCCACCACCCCCATTCCTGAGCCCGCGCCAAACACGATGGGCACTCAACACTCTAGGGATCCCCAAGTTTGACCACCGTAAGGCCTGACCCGGGATGGGGCTCCGCACGATCGGGGAAGGTCGTGAGGGGGTTGGCCACACCCTCAGTGGCGCAGCGGCAGGAGCCGGGCCACCCCTTCCCTAGGCCCGCGCTGTCACCGCCACAGCTGGACTCAGACGGGAGCGCAGGCTGCAGCTGGGGAGGTTGGTGGTGAAGGCCCGCAAGCCCCGTGCTGTCCCAGCATGGCCGGACTGTGGGCAGAAACCTCTCCTGGGCTCGGGGTCTAGTGCACGCTGGGCTAGGAGATAGACTTTGGGTGCCGGTACCCCACCATCCCACAAAGCGTGAGTCTTCCGAGTGCAACTTCTCCAGGACTGTGGATCAGCTTGCACCGGATTTAGCAACCCCACCAGCGCACTTGCCAGAAAGTGGTCTACAAAGTTGGGCACAATCCTCTTCTCTCTGGTTCCCTTCTCTCCCAAGACCTTGACTTTCCCGGCCGATCAGCTCTGTTCACAGAGGCTATTAATGCAACTCCTCAACTGTTCATTTACTTTAATTAAGAGAAACAGCAAATCTTAAAAATTCTTTGGGGAAGAAAGTCGAGTGGCCATCAAACTGAATTAGTAAGAAGTTGCTGAACCGGGCTACCCTGGCAATCCCAGTTCTTGGGAGGTGGAGGCAGGGGGATCAGGGAGTTTAAGGTCATCCTCAGCTACATAGGAAGTTCAAGGCTGGTGTGGTCAACATTAGACCTTTTCTCAAACATAAAAAGCTGCTGTAGAAGGAAGTTGTTAGTTACTGACAAAGATAAATGATTAGCTAGAAATAGAAAGAAAATATGCAGTATATGCCCATGTGTGTATCGGAAATGAAACAGAATGGATAACCTGTCACACAAGAGGTCAGTGTGGCACCTGTTTAGGACGGTGCTGCGGGTCCTGGCTTTGTACTAAGACGTTAGTTGGTATGCTCAGCAGTGGGGAAGTAGGATTGGTATGCACTCACCCTGTCCCCACGGTGGACCTCCTCAGGTGGCCTTCCTACCTTCTGCATCTCTCCCGCAGGATGGGGCAGCCAGAGCTCCAAGGTGCACATTCACCACAGCACCTGGCTGCACTTCCCGGGGCACAACCTGCGCTGGGTCCTCACCTTCATCTTGCTCTTTGTCCTCGTGTGTGAGATCGCTGAGGGGATCCTGTCCGATGGGTAAGTGAGTGACTGAGGGCTGAGTGGATCTGCTCCACCAAGGAGACCCTGCCTGTGCCTGCTCCCACGCCTTACCCAAACCAGTACCATGGCTATTAGATCCCACAACCCTTTGCCTGGTGTGAACTGTGCCAGACCCTAGACACACACGAAACCCAGTCAGGAGGGTAAAGGGAATGCGGATTTCTGTACCAGTTTCCTGTAAACACCGTTCTAGAGCCTGTCAGGGTGCCCCAGCTGCTGTGGAAAATTCCTGGTCTTCCTCAAGTGACTGAAGTAAGTAAGAAGACAGTTAAGCATGTCACTTGTTCTTACTGAAGGCTTTTCCTCGGTTCTCATTCACTTACAAGATTCAGTCATGCATCTCTGGGCACTCCTGTTTGTCACATTCCAGTCCCGCTTGCCTCTACCCCCATTCTTCACCCCACACTCAACCCTTCCCCACCTCTCCTAGGGATCAGAGTGTATGCTCAAGTTTTGGTTTGCAAAGCTGTCAGAAAGACTCCGTGGATGTCTGGTGAGATCTTAGGTGTTGGTCCTTTTTGTATTCACAGGGCAGGGCACACAAAAGCTCTGCAGACATTTATTGAATCCCAGAAGGATAAATAAAATCATACCGCAAGGGCATGGTCTGGGAGGAGAGGAGAAGGCAGCATTAGACAGGTTCCCTGGTGGAGGGGGCTTTGGCGCTGAGCCCCGGAGGATGACAGGTATTGTGGCCATCAGAGGAAGGAGTTAAGGAGTGGGGAGACTATGGCACAGGAGCAAGAGGGACCAGGAACAGGTACGCTGGGCCTACGGCACAGGTGATCAGCATGATTTGGGCAGTCATGATTTGAGGCCCGGAGGAAAGCTGCGTGTGTGGAGATGGCCTTGGAACTGAGGCTAGCCATCAGGGGCAGGAGGAATGGAGAAGGCTAACGCAGTTGACATGTGGAAGGAGCCATGGGACTGAGGCTGAGAATCAGATCTGGGGCTCAAGAGGAGCGTTTGGATGGCAGACTGCCTGTCTGAGTTGGATATGACTCTCGGTTTTGAGCCCAAGAGAGACACCCTCAGCACAGCACTCCTGAGGGAGAGGCCAAGTGTGTGTTGGTCGAGTCAGAGGCAGACAAGTCGGAGGCTAGGTCAGGGATGACCGCAGTGGGAGATGCAGTGTGTCCCCATAAAGCGACAGAAGGGGATACGGGGCCGCCATCTTTAAGTCAGAACGGAGGAGTCAGTGAGCCTGAGGGACTGTTTCAGGAGCTGATGTCACAGTTGTGGGTGGACATTGGGCTGGAGCATCTGAGGTCTAGCTCATCTGAGCTGTAATTAGACAGTGTTCAACCCTGCAGCTGTCCCCAGGGGCAGGATTTCTGTCCTGCACCTCCTGCTCCTTAGTATCCATGCATCCAGATGTCCATACTAATGTCATGACTGGACTCCTGAAGGCCTTGGGTCCTACTGCTGATCGCAGCCTTCCAGACCAACAAGAAGGCATGCTTCTGCTTAAGTCGCCAGGGACCATTCTGTACCCCCTCCTCAGGACCCTTCCAAAGTGTCACTGAATACTGAGGAAAGGGACTTGTGAGCCCTTGGGTTATAATTGGCTGGGTGACAGGAAAATGCTCCACTGAAGAGGAGGGAGCCTTGGACAGTGCCAGCTGTGGGAACTGCATGTCACTCTGCCTTTCTGGACCTTGCCTTTTCTATCTATGAAATAAGTACTGGAGCCCTCACTTGCCTGTTTGGGGAGGGTGAAATGGGAAATGCACAGGGTCCAGAGCCCAGCCACAGAGCCTGGAGCAGAGGATGTATGCCCAGGACATGGGGATTGGAAGGAAGTAGCCCAGACACCCACTCTAGCTACTCTTTGCACCCCCACCATGCACCCCAGGCCCACTGCGTGTGTTTCCTCCAAGGCCTAAGGCATGTCTCTCGCTGGACACTGGGCTCCTGGTCTGTGGGGAGGACATCTCTGAGTCAGCAGGTGTGAGGAAGGGACAGATGGGTGAAGTCACAGACCTGCCCTGCGGCTCCCATTTCCCCACTGGCCTGTGGCATGTGGGGCCAGAGCTGGGTAAGACAACAGTCTTTAGCTGGGATCTGACTTAGGCTCAGCCACATTTAGTACTAACTGAGGCATCTTCAGTCTGTAGTGACGCTGCCTCCTCAGGGGCTTTTGCCTGTGCACGATCCTGTTAATTCAGAGCAGCCAAAGCACACAGGGTAATGAGAAGAGAGAGGAGGAAGCATATGGGGAGAGTGTTTCCCCAAATCACCAAACACCCGACAGATATAAAGAAAATTTGTACCCAATTTCTTTGCTATTTCATTCTGAATCACTCAGTAAAGCATTTAAGATCTATTATAACTGATACTGTGGCATAATTGTTCCAATTATAGTTAATATTAAATTCACTTCCACATTATTTCTAGTACAGAGACAAGAGTTCTGAGACCCCCTCTCCCCGGACAGTGATTGTCTGTCCTCTGCCCTTGGCCATTCGTACCTCCTCTCTTAGCAAGACCTTTTGCTGAGAATGTAAAGGCTGAAAGGACATCACTAAGCGCCTCATTTAACGAGAAATCTAGAAAATTACCTTTTCTGGTTGATTTTACAGTTTGGTAATCTGCAGGGACTCAGTCTTACTCCACCGTCTGCCACCCCTTCCTCATGAGCACAAAGTGGCTGCCCTGTGTCAAGTATCCCATAAGAAGGAAGGGGCAAGCTTGGAAAGGTGTGTTCCAGCCATGCCTCTTCCTTATGGGGGTCATGCTCTACAGACTTGATTTTAACACCTCAGTGGCCAGAATTGCGTGGCCACCCTCAGACCAACCCCTGGCAAAGGAGTATGGAATTGGTAGACCACTTAAGCTGGTCACCATCTATGTCTTAGGGGCTGGATAATTTGTGGTTCTTCGTCAAGCAGCAAGCGGAGGAGGCTGTTTGGTAAACAGCCCATGCTGCCTCCATGCCTGCACTTGGGCCCCTCCAGAGTCCCCAGACTCCTGGCGTGGTGCTCTTCTCCATATGGCGTGACTCCTCTGATAAACAAATATTTGTCCTTCAAAGCCCAACCTGGTTCCACACCCTCTGGGGAGCTTCCCCTGGTTGCCCACCCTCTCCTTTTCTCTCCCTCGGCCTTCAGGCCATCTGGAGCAGCCCTTCCGTGGACTGTTGAGTCAGATAGTATGGCTCTGGTCTTTGCCTGTGCTTAGCTTCTCCAGGGTAAGGGCACTTGGCCTGCTGGATCCAGCAGTAGTATAAGCAAGGACGTTACTGAGGCAGGAGGCTGAAATGGACCCTCTGGGGTGGAGAAGGTTCCAGCACTGCTGGTGTAGAATGAACAGGTTGGGCAGTGCTAGCGAGGTTGCTGGAGGCCCTGTTGCCTGGGCCTTGAGTGCTGCACTGGGCTAGGTCTTTCTGTTGCTGTCTGTAGGAAGAGCATGATCAGGAAAGCTAAGGCACCCCTCCACACTTCTTGGCTGAAGCTGAGGTCTGAGAGGAGACCCTGGCTCCAGGTGTGGATTGATTGTCACCGTACCCTCCTCCTGCCAGCACAGAGGCCTTTGTGAGTCAAAGCAGGAGGGCACCGTCTAGTAGTCTCTGCCCCCAGCCCAGAGGAGGAGGGCAAAGGCATGGTTTCAGGCATGTGACTTAGTCAATCTGTGCCTCAGTTCCCTTAGTTATAGAATAAAGTGACTGGGTGCCCACTTCGTGGGGGCTTCATTGAACAATTTTCTTTTCATCGGGTACTTAGATTCATGTTCAGCATGGGGCAGGTACTCAGCAAGCGTGGGTCGCCATCAGCATCATTAGTACAGTGCCTGCAGATACTGCCGGTGCTTACCTGTGTCACTCATGTTAAATGGGGCTGTTACTGAGTGAGTTGGAATGCACAGAATGTTTGGGATAGCATCTGGGAAGAACTACCAGCATATGGGCACCAGGCCGTGGTTATCCGAGGTCCTACTGTGTGCTGAGCAGTAAGCATAACAAGGCCTGTGCTGCTCTACTAGGTGCTGGCCACATCCACATCCTCTCTCTGATTTTCTCTCTTTCTTCTCCCATCACAGGGTGACAGAATCCCGCCACCTCCACTTGTACATGCCAGCTGGGATGGCGTTCATGGCTGCCGTCACCTCTGTGGTCTACTATCATAACATTGAGACCTCCAACTTCCCCAAGCTTTTGATCGGTAAGGATGGGGAGGGCCTTTCTTCCTTCAGCCAGCATTTACTGAGCACTCACTCAGGCTAGGAATCAGAAATAAAGAGAAGGTCTCTGCCTGCCTCCGTGGAGCTTGTGGTCTGGAGGAGGAGACAGACGGGCAGAGATGGTAAATTAACCAAGGAGCGGGTGCTGAGGATGCTGTGGGGGAAAGCAGGTTGGCTGCAGGGGGCAGAGTGGTGGGTGTGGTTGTCTGTGCAGGGTGCGCGGGGACACTCCAGGCAGAGTCAGCCTGCAGAGGTCGTCCGACCTGAACGTGCCTGGCAGTGAGGCCAGCACGGCCAAGCCCAGTGAGCAGGGCCACCTGTGGAAACCTGGACTCTGACCCCCAGGGGAAAGGTCACTGAGGTGGCCCCGAGGGGGAGGTAGGGGCAAGATGTGCATCAGGGTTTCAGGCGTGTTGGATTTGAGATGTCATTGGACTGTCAACTCCAGGGTCAAGTGTGCAGTTAGGTAAATCAGTTGGGTGTTTGGGGAAGGGTGGGGTGGCAGATGTGTTCAGCAGATGTGGGTTTATGGATGGCATTTAATGCCTGAGCCTGGATGAAGTCTCACGGGGAGCAGAGAAAGGCCTGTTGCTGGCTGACTCTTAGACACTCAGGAAGGAGTAACCGCTTGCAACTTCTGACATGAATGACTGGGGTTCCGGGCAGAAACAGCAGCCATGCTGCTTGCCCCTTACGGAGTGTGTAGCGTGGGCTGGGCTCTGTGCTCCACTGCCTCCCTGGTTTGTGTCACTAATGCCCACAGGAGCTCTGCTGGAGCTGGAGCTCCCCAATGTTGCCTGCAGATGTGAAACAGAAAGGTTTGAAACAGCACCAGCAAGCACTCATTGAGCGTTACTTACATGTCGAACTCCGTCCTGTCATATTAACTCAGTCCCATGGCAACCCTGTGAGGTGGTCCCATTGTTTCCCTCCACCACTCAGGGGTTGAGTGACTTGATCTGGTCTACCCAGCTACTCAGGGGGCATCACCAAGATCAAGCAGCTGAGCAGGCTTCTAGCTGCTTCTAAGGGTCCTCAAGCTGTGTTCTTGCCCCTAAAGTCTAAGTCTCGATCTGCCACTGTGTAGCCGACGGTCACCTGCAGTTGCAGTCTGTGGCCGGGCTGTGCCTCTGGTGGTGCCAGTAAGTCATTGAGACTCAAGAGTCACAGCCTGTAATAGACACTAGAATCTGGGGCTCTCTGTGCTCTGACAGGGACATGGCTGTCTTGTCTTCAGGCAGAGGACATTTTCCTAATATCTAGTCACAGGTCTGCCTTCCCATGGTAGATGTGATGCTCCATCGGGACCCTCCAGCTGTGTCCCTGCCCCAGGACTCCATGTGAATGAAGGAATATGCCTGGATTGGCATCCAGAAAGGTGGATGTTAGCTCCAAGCTTCAGAGAGCAGTGCCCTAGAGGACCCTCCCCATATAAGGAACCACCAGGGCCAGGCTAAGCAGAGTCTTGCAGATACTGCAGGCACCCGAAAGCTAGGATTTCCATTTTCCAGCAAGCACACGGTTCTGTCTTCCTAGCACAAATCACTATGGGTGTGTCCATACTTCCCAAGAAACCAGTGACTTCTCCACTTTCCTCAGCTCCCCCAGTTGGAGTTTTGCCCCCAGGAAAAGCTCTACAGCTCCAGAAATTTCTAGATCAGGCAAAAGGGGGTGCTGAGCTGTAGGGATAGAGGGCAGTTCATGGAAAAGCCAGCCCCCTTCGGAGGCCCGCATCCGGTCACAGGCCTGGAGTCCCACAAGAAGGTAAACCACGATACAGCTTAAACTATCCCATGAAATGTACTCCTGGGGCCCCAGAGGACACCAGAGAGAGACAAGAGAGGAGAATGGGCCTGCCAGAAAGGAGAGAAAGGTTTCAGGCCGAGCTGAGAGTGTGCACAGGTCCTGAGGAACAGAGACATAAATGGATCTGAGAAAGAACAGCTGGAGTGGGACGGCAGGAGGGATGGAGGCGGCATACAGGTATTGGTCCTTGCTCAGGACGGATGAGCAGTGGTATGCCTTTTGTCTTGGTTGTTGTTGTTACTGTCACTGCTACGTTGTTGCTTGTTCATTCTTATTTTTGTGACAAGGTCTCCCGATGTGGCCCTGACTGGCCTCAAACAAGGTTCTCTTGCCTCTTTTTGGGTTTTGTGTGTGTTGTATGTGTATAACATAGTATTGACCATGTTAGCCATGACATGTGCATTGCTGAGGGATTAAGAACATTTACACAGCCATGCAGCCAACACCACTGTCCATCTCCAGGACCTTCCACCTTCCCAAACCAAAGCGCTAAACTCAAGTCTCTGCCCCAGCAGGTGACCCTCTCATTCTGGACAAAAGATAGCCAATACACAGGAAATAACCCATACCAGGGGTGGCCTCCACCCGTAGATCCCCGTGGTCTGGAGACTAACACAGTGAGGGGCCGTCACCACAGTCCCGAGGGCCTTTCCCTCTCTCCTCTTGCCCACACTCAGTCCTGGCCACATGGTGAGGCCTGGTGTCTTGACCTGCTTCTCAGCCCACAACTAGGTCAAACAGATCTCATATTTTTCCCAAAGGGTGGCCGATGACTCGGGTGAAGGTCAGAGTGCGGGTCTCCTTTATCCACTGTGGCCTGGCTTGGGGGTGGGGGGCTGAAGCTGGCTTCACAGTAATATGACTCTCGGGACAAGGGGTGCTGGAGCTGCCCGCATCAACACCCTCTCGGGGCTACTTAACTAGCTGTGGTGGGGTTCGCTCTCACAAGCTCACAGTGACAAGTTGGCAGTTTAGGGGGAGGGTGAGAATTCAGGACAGAATCCACCCAGGGCTTCTGAAGCAGACTGCCCCAAATCTGAAATCCAGCCCTCATAAGAATGTCAACAGCTAATGCCCAAAGATCAGCCACGCTGCACACCAGGCTCCCTGTGCTAAATGCTTTCCACACACTGCTCCCTAACACCTTTGGGGGTGCTGTCACTGCCCCCCATGATGGATGAGGAAATTCAAGTCTAAGAGGGTTACAACTCCAGTGTGTTCGACCTTTTGACATTGCAATATGGTGTTGTCATCTACAAAATCTACACTTGAGGATTCTGCAGTGATTTACAAAACAAAAGCCATAGTGTTTAGGTAAGTTTGTGACTTTGTGTTGGGCTGCATTCACAGCTGTGAGTAAATCTGGGTGAGTCTGGCTTCAGGTCTCCACCTCTAATCACTGTACTGCACTGCCCCATGGTGCTAAACGTTGCTCTTTCTGTGTCCCCCATAGCCCCAGGCTTCCAGGCGAACACTACTGGGGTGCTGTGGGCTCTGGGCTGTGAGGATGGGAACCTGGATCCCCCTCACCTTCTAGCTATCACAAGCTGACGGTGAACATGCCTAATTCACTTCATCTCTATGGGCCTCAGTGTCCTTATCTAAATCAAACAGCCTGGATTGAATGATCGTTAAGATATTCCCAAACACATTGAGAAAATGTGTTTCAAGTGCCTGTAACTTAGTCAACTTGGAGAAGCTATTTTTCCTGTCCTCACTGTTCCTTGTCTGGCCTGTTGGACTCATGATATCAGTGTTTCTGAGCATGCCTGTCACAGTGTTGGAATGCCTGTTCTGAGTCTCAGAGGGACACTAGAGCCAGTTGTGGTGACTCACACTCGTAATCACAGTACTTGGGAAGAGGAGGCCAGAAAATTAGAAGTTCAAGGTCATTCTCAGATAACGTATGAGACTGTTTCAAGGGTCAGCCCATCGATTGGTTGATCACAGGGATAGTGTGATAGTCATACGTGCATACCCCCTTTATCAAAAATGTGTTTGAACATCCCCCCACGCCTCCTGAACATGCGTTCTGTCTTTTCCCACACGCTTGCGTGCTTGTGGAGGTGCACACGTGCCATGCTCAGGCATCCTCTCCTCCTCTCCGCCCTCCGCAGCTCTGCTCATCTACTGGACCTTGGCCTTCATCACTAAGACCATCAAGTTTGTCAAGTTCTACGACCACGCCATCGGCTTCTCTCAGCTACGCTTCTGCCTCACGGGGCTTCTGGTGATTCTGTATGGAATGTTGCTGCTTGTGGAGGTCAACGTCATCAGGGTGAGGGTAAGCAGGGAAGTGGGAAGTGTGGTGCTGACCCAGGTGTGCTTTGCCTGTGGGCGTTACCTGCCCTGGACAGGGCACTGGGACCATAGGTAGATTTCAGGGGAGCCGTTCCATCAGATCACAGCCCTCCACCCCGGGTGCCCAGAGAGAGGGGGAAGGACGAGGATGGGTTGACTCTCGGAGAGAAGAGGAAACATAAGGGACTGCTTTTCTCTGCTTTTGCTGGTGACGGGGACTCAGCAGAGCACTCATGAACGGGTAGAGCACAGGAATGAGTGCAGACCACTGCTCATGTGCCTTTTATGTTCTGTTTGGTTGGTGGTGCTTTGAGACAAGCTCTCACTATGTAGCCCAGGCTACCTTCGAACTTTCTATCCTCCTGCCTCAGCCTCCTGAGTGCCTGTGGAGGTGTGTCCTTTGCTTTGTCACCCTGTTTTCCTCCCCCCCTCTTGCTTCTCCACCTTAGAGTGGTACCTTCTCCTTGCCCTGACCCCATCCTCGCTTTCCCAGGTAACTCAAACGAACAGCCTACTTAACTCCCCATAGTATTTTTATTAATATGACATCGTCCACATCTATCTAAACAAATCCACTTAGTGGTTTCCCCTCAGCACACAGAAGCTAATGTGTTTTTCCCTTCAATATTTGCTTCATGAAAGTTGATCATAGTATATACTGTGTTACGTGTCATGCTCTTCTCGTCCAGTATTTCTTAGGACTCCCTCTGAGCTGCCTGAGATGCAAGTCCAGCCTCTTAGTGACTGCATAATATTCCACCATAGAGAAGGGCTGTAATTGGTGCAGCCATTGTTCAGTGGTGGACATTCACTTCACTACCGAATTCTTTTTCTTTTTTTTTTTTTTTTTTTTTTTTTTTTTTTTTGGTTTTTCGAGACAGGGTTTCTCTGTGTAGCTTTGCGCCTTTTCCTGGAACTCACTTGGTAGCCCAGGCTGGCCTCGAACTCACAGAGATCCGCCTGCCTCTGCCTCCCGAGTGCTGGGATTAAAGGCGTGCGCCACCACCGCCCAGCCGAATTCTTGACTTCACAGATAATGTTGTACTGAACATATTTCCCTCTCTGTGAATTGCCACTATTCTGTGGGAGAGACACCAAGGAAGGGAGTTGCTTAAGCAAAGGGCGTGTGCGTGCATTTTAAAGTGAAACCAGTACTATAGACTTCCAACCGTAAGGGGACAATCCTTTGCCTGCCCTCTGGCCCCTCACGGGGGGGGGGGGGGGGGGGGGGGGGGGGGGGGGGGGGGGTGGCGGCCCTTTCTCATTTGGGTCTTCCCCTGCTGCTGCAAAATGCTCTTGAAGCTGCCTGTCAGGCCCTTCTGCTTTTGGTTATGGTCCCCAGGAGAGCTGACCTCTGTACATTCCCTCCCACAGTGACCTGGGAAGTGCAACTCACTCCCTTAATAATGCGGTAGACAAGGTTTGCTAGCATATGCAGGAGGCAAGATTTGAATCGGGTCCACATGACTTCAGGCTCCACAAACTCTGTAGGTGTTAGTTACTTTTATTGTTGCTCTGACTGAGTAGCTAATAAAAGCATCTCGGGAAAGGGAGGATTTACTGTCGCTGTTTAAGGGTAGAGTCACTGTGGCAGGAAAAGCATGGTGGACAGGAGCGTGAATAGTCACACGGCATCCACAGTTAGGAGGCAGAGGGAGGTGAGTGCTGACTGGGGCCTAGCTCATCTCTCTTTCTCTCCCTCTTTCTAGGAGCACTTTAAATTTATAGTAGACATTTTTTAAAAAAAAATTAGCCAGGCACAGTGGCACACACTTTTAATCCCAGCACTTAGGAGGCAGAGGCAGGCAGATCTCTGTGAATGCCAGGTCTACATAGCCAAACAGAGCTACATAGCGAGGCTTTGTCTCAAGGAAATGTTTTTTAGTTGCATGCATGCATGTGTGTCTGGGGCTGGAGAGGGGCACTGTGTCCATGAGTGCGGGCGCCTTCAGAGACCGGCACATCCCCTGGAACTGGAGTCATAAACAGTTGCGAGCCACCCAGCTGTGTGCTCAGAACCAAACCGGAGTCCTCTGTAAGAGCAGAAGGGGCTCTGAACAGATGATTCCTCTCTCTAGCCCCTGTTTTCTCCTCTTCATTCAGTTGGAAGCACTGATCTTGGAATGATGCCACCCACATGTAGGGTGGATTTTCCTCCTCAATTAACCCAGTGTGGATGTGCCCTATAGCCACGCCCCGAGGCCTGTCTCCTAGGAGATGGGGACAGTAACCATCACTGTACACAACAGTGGTGACCCACCCCCACCCACCCACCCACCCCACACACACACACACACCCTCAGTTCTTCCCTAGCTCAGCTCAAAACCAGCCTCAATGAACAGCCACAACGCAAGGCCCTTTTCCTAGAGGCCATAGGTGGCCGCATCTCTTGGTGGTCAAGTATAGCCCATCACACCTAGACCCTTGCTGGGTGGTGGGGAAGGGGAGGTGTTACACTTGCCCACCCTCCATTCCTGCCCCATACCCATATGCCCCACAGAGGTACATCTTCTTCAAGACACCAAGGGAAGTAAAGCCCCCCGAGGACCTGCAGGATCTGGGTGTGCGCTTTCTACAGCCCTTTGTTAACCTGCTGTCAAAAGGGACCTATTGGTGGATGAATGCCTTCATCAAGACAGCCCACAAGAAGCCCATCGACCTGCGGGCCATCGGCAAGCTGCCCATCGCCATGAGAGCCCTCACCAACTATCAGCGACTCTGCGTGGCCTTCGACGCTCAGGCGGTCAGTGGGCCCAGCCACACCACCCATCGCCTGCCTTCCCATGGAGTTACAGCCAAGGATTTCAGCCTGTGGAGGGAAAGGGAAGGGCTCACCCTCAGTGGCACAGGAGAATACTAGGGCCAAATATTCATAGGAAGGTCATGGTTAGAATGGCCCTTACAGTTTAGATCAGCATGTCCAAAATGCTCACTATCTAAATGGGGAAACTGAGGCTTGGTAAGGGACATGGCTTTATGTGACTCTCCCATCCCCTGTACTCTTCATTTTAAAGTACAGTGGCTGAAGTGACGGGGGTTTCTACCCCGTGTGGAGGGCAAGGTATTGTCCTGGTCCCTACACTGTTTCTGCAGATTTGGCCAGGATGAGTTCAGCTGAGGCCTGAGACCTTCCATGCCCCGCCCAGAGCTCTGAACCCCCTATACCGTGTTCCTTCACTGTGTCTGCCGGCACTCAGGGAAACACTGAAACGTGGTCATGAGTGAACATAGAAGGTGCCAATCCATCAAGATGGTGCTGTGCTGATCACATGACCCCCTACCGGCACCGTGATTTGAAATGCCTGTAGCCTCAGTTTCCCCATTTGATCTGCCCTGTCATGCATTCATTGATACCGTGATTTACTACTGAAGTTTGCCTGTTCACAGACAGCATGGCCACAGGGTTTCCCCAGGCAGCAGGATCCAAGGGTGATGGGGAGGAGGGGCTCTCCATGGCTGATCCCTAACCGACTCTGACCTGGCTGTGGGACTCTCTTGGCAGCGGAAGGACACACAGAGCCCACAGGGTGCCCGGGCCATCTGGAGGGCTCTGTGCCATGCCTTTGGGAGACGCCTGATCCTCAGCAGCACGTTCCGCATCCTGGCTGACCTGCTGGGCTTCGCTGGGCCACTCTGTATCTTTGGGATCGTGGACCACCTGGGGAAGGAGAACCATGTCTTCCAGCCCAAGGTGGGCCATCCTTGGAGCAGGCCTAGGCACCCTCTGGAAGGTTGGCCCCACAACTGTCTTGTGTAGGTGTGCGTGTGAGTTTGAGAGGACATGTTAGCTGTGGCTGACTGGGGGCGGGGACTTTTCAGGAGCATCCACTGCTGGAAGAGGCTCTGTGTCCAGTCAGCAGAAATGCTGAGAGGAGGGCTTGTGCCCCAGGAGACTCACGGTGCCACAGATTGAGAATCCTAGCTATGTTCTGCAGGGGCATCTAGGATGGCTGCTGGTGGAGGAGAAGCCGTGCGGACCCCCGTGGCCACCCTCCTCTGCTCACGTGTCCACTACCCCAGTTCTAGTGACATAGTAGATTTTCCTCTCTCTTTGTTTCTTTCCCCAGTCTCTCTTGGTTTTTGGAGACAGAGTTTTATCTAGCCTGGGCTGACCTTAAACTCTCTATGTAGTGGGATTCCTCTTGAACTCCTCATCCTCCTGCCTCCACAGCTCCTAAAATGCTTGAGATTGAAGGTGTACACTGCTGTGCCTGGCCTGTTACAAAAGCTCTGTTACAGACCCAAGATACTGGAAACCCACTAGACTAGGTGATGCTCAGTGGTCCCTTCAGCTCAGAAGATTCCACAACTAAAATGTTTGTTCGGGACAAGAATCTCTGTGTGTGTGTGTATGTGTGTGTGTGTGTGTGTGTGTGTGTGTGTGTGTGTGTGTTATATTACATTAAAAATACAAAAGCAGAAGGGACCTATTAAGGATCACAGGGGACCACCAGGAGCAGGAAGAGGAGCAGAAGAGGGCGAAAGGATGAGTGTGAGCAAGTTACTATGATGTGTGATATAATGATGACTGATAATGTTACAATGAAATCCATTTTTTGTACACTAACTTAAAAACTAAATGTTAAAAAGGGTCTAAGGGGCTGGAGAGTGGGTCAGTAGTTAAGAGTGCCTGTTGCTCTTGCAGAGCTGAGTTTGGTTCCCAGCATGCCTGTTAGGTAGGTAGCTCACAGTCACCTTCAATTCCAGACACACACACACACACACACACACACACACACACACACACACACACACACACACTGAATCTGAAAGGGGTGTCAGAAGCCTCTTCTAGGAGTGTTTTTTCTCCATGTGGAGCAACATTGCCCACCTTGGGGACTGAAGGTACTTGATTCTCTGCAGCCACCTGGGTGAAGATGGCCACAGTGAGAAACTTCGTCCCCAGTGGGATGCTGCCCTGTAGAATCCCAGAGACAAGGCTGTTATAACATTTCAAGCACACACAGGCCCCAGTGACACTGAGAGTTAGGACTTCGGGCCCCTGACAGCTAGTGGTGCCCCGTATGAAATGTTCATTGTACCTGAGCTCTGACCTTGCAGAGAGCTGTTAATCCTCGGGAGTTATATAGTTTTCTCCAAACATAATTAGTCAGCTGAGTATTTCTGAGTTAGAAGTCCCAGACAGGCCAACTGCGGGTCTGACTTGCCCAGAATATGTTTATTGATCCTAATGTTCGATGGCCTTGGGCAGGGTTGTCGGGTCATGGAGACTTACGATCAAGATCATTAACAACAATGCCCACCTAGCAACCACTGGACACACATCTGGCTATGGGCAGGCATTTCCCATTTTCTTGTTTAATCCCTAAAGGAGCCTTTTGGCATGGGTAATGGGTGGTGGGCAATAGGTATATTGAGATATGATTCCCATGCCATGTAATTCATGCGGTAGACACTCCTAGTCCCATTTACAGATGAGAACCTGGTGCTGAATCAGGTTAAATAACTTTTCCCAGGGGCTCTCAGCCAGTTTCTAACACTGTGAGAATTTGAACCCTGCCGTCTCGCTCAGTAGTCTGGACTCTTAAGTCATGACCACTAAAATGATTATTACTGTCAAACTGTCACCCCGGCTCCAAGGATTGTGAGATCCAGTGATGGAGAAATCTAAACAGAATAGCTATGGCTACCTGTGACAGACGGTGAAAGCCAGGTGTGGTGGCACATGCCTGTAATCCCAGCTTTCAGGAAGCTGAGACAGGAGGGCGTCTGATGGGGATTGCACATGTGCTTCTCAGGTCTTAAACTAGCCGAGAGGCCACGCCCTAGGGCCTGGTACCCCAAGGTCATAGGTAGAAAGAACACCCACTAAGGTGTCAGCAAGTTTGAAGCCAGCCTGTGTTACATAGCAAGACCCTGTCCCCCGAGAGAAGGGCATTTCAATAGGACCTCAATAAATAAATTAGATTAGCCAGGTGGGGACAGTTCCTATGTATTAGGAGGTTGTTTCGTTTGGTTGGTTTTTTTGTTTTTGGTGTTTTGGGTTTTTGTTTTGTTTTGTTTTTTGCTTACTTAGCTTTTGATGTCTTTAGGGGCCTTTTCTGGCTATAAATACTTTTCCTTTTTTTATTACAGTGTGTGTGTGTGTGTGTGTGTGTGTGTGTGTGTGTGTGTGTGTGTGTGTGTGTACACAAATGTCATGCATGTGGGGGTCAGAGGACAGCTTGCTGGAATCAATTCTCTTCTACCACATGTGTTCTCCTCTCAACCACCTCATTGGTCTCTTTTCTGGCCTTTTGAGCCTCTGGCCTTTACCAGGAGAGAGCGAGAGATTATTTCTTGGCCTCCAGCAGTGACATCTCCAGCTTTAGTCTAGCCTTAGACAACCCCAGAATGCTCCACCTTCTCCATTCTGCATGTTATGGGGAAATCACCCAGGGCAGAGCCCCCATCCTCTTGGCTAACCATCCTCCTGTGTTTCCCCAAAAGTCTTCTTGGGGAAGGGGGAAAGTCTTCTAAGGAGAAAGCACCCCACAGAGATGGTGAGACCCGGCCCAAGAAGGTTGTTCTGGAACCTGCCTCCCTGTCTCAGCCTTCAGGCTGGCTGGGGTTTGTTGCCTTCCTGACGGAGTGCTCTTATCAGCGCGCAGATCCCTGGGACAGATGGCTCTGCCTCAGTGGCAGCAGGCATTATCAGATTTAATACTTGTTCCCTGCCGCCCAAATGCAATCAGCAAATTTCCGACATAGAAACGAGAGTTGAGAGTAAACACAGGCCTCAGCCTCTGGAACACTCTCTAGCTCTCCAGCCCAAGGTTGCCTACTGCAGCTTAATTCTCACTTGGGCACCAGAGCCCAGAAAATGTGGGAAGAGCTCATTTAGTTCAGTCATTTGTTCCCTCGCCTTGCCTCACAGCTCAATCCAAGAGCCAGTGTTGTTGGGGTCGTTAGGTTTGGGGCAAGAAGGAAGCTAGCTGCAGGGCTTCAGGCTGGCTGGACGAGGAAGCCCAGCCCATGTCCAGCCTGCTCCAGTCTGCAGAGCTGGCACCCACTGTTGACTCTGTCAGCAGCTGTCTGTCCTCTCTTTTCTTCTCGGACACACAATTGGCAAGGAGCAGAGCGCCTTCGGGGTCCAGAAGGATGAGCAATGTTGATTTGCTCCTTAGTCCGTAGCCCACAGAACCCGCTCGGAAGCTCCTGGCCCCCCTGTCTCTCTCTTCCCAGAGAAATCTGGGCTCGACCCAGGATCTATTTCTTTCCATCCCCGCTCTCTTGCCCAACCCCCGCGCCAATCTGTCACCTGCCAGGGATGCCACTGAGCTGGCTGGAGGGCGATGGAATTGGATTCATGAAGGGTGGCTGGTATCTGAAACCTGCCAGCACCACCCTGGGCTATCAGCTGAGCCGGGAAAAAAAGAGCAGCTGAGGTTGGATCCAAGGCCAAAGCTTTGACCCTTCTAGGCTACGGTGGGAAGAGCACGCAGGCTGGTTATGTGTGTTTCCAAACAAATTCTACAAAAAAATGGTTGGTGGTTGTGTGTGTAATATCCTCTTTCTTTCTCTCTTTCCTCCTCCTCCTCTTCCTCTCATTCTTACTCTCCTCTCCTCTCCCCCCTCCCTCCTCCCTGAGTGACCATATTTGCCGCTCTCACTCTTGGTGACACAATGATCGTTCATGTCTTGCTGGTTCTGTGGTGTGGGGATGTCAGTGTGTCAGTGGCCTCTTCATGACAATGTTCACAGAGTGCCTGAGGTGGCTGCTTTCGTATCACTGACTCTCCTGCTTTCCCACCCCCTCTGGAATCAGTCCTCTGTGCTCCCAGTGGCCTCCATTGCAGAACTCCACTGCCGGATGAGAACATGGGGCACGGAGAGCCTATGTACTGATCCATTTAAAAGAATAGTCTACGGCCGGAGAGATGGCTCCGTGGGTACAGGTGCTTGCTGCCAAGCCCAGTAGCTGGAACACACGTGGCTGAGGGAAAGAACTGGCGGCCCAAGCTGCTTCTGACCTCACTTGTAGACTGTGGCGCACATGCACCTGTATACCCGACCATGCACAGAATACATGAATTTAAATGTAGTTAGTTTAAAAAAAAAAAAAAAGAATATTAAGCATCAACTTCCAAAAAAAACTTCCCCAAGAGCTTGTGAAAACACAAGTCCAGCGCATAAAGCCTTCCAAAGCCCTTGTCTTCCATCAGCGGTGGCCCAGGTTTCTTCTCTCCTCCCACGGGTCTTTCACCCCCTCCCAGAGAGTCCTCTTTTGTTTGCTAGAGTTCAGCAGGGTCTCCTTTCTTAGGTCTCTTCTCTGGCCTGGTATCCATTTATTCCCTTTCTTCATTTTTTTGATACTGGGTTTCATGTTGCACAGGCTGGACCCGAACTCACTACATAGCAAAGGATGACTCTGAACTTCTGACCCCCGCCCCCACTGGAGTGCTGCACTGGATACTACAGAGGGCCCCACAGGCCTTGGTACCCACTTCTGCATAAGAACCTACGTGTTCTGGCTCCACCCCTTTGAAGCTGCCTTAAAAAGATGTCTAACCACAACGTACCTAACGACAGTGACGTACCTAACGACAATACTCTCGTTTTAACAGAGCACACATTCTTTATCTACAGCAATGTGATCTTTGGCCCTACAGAGTGTGTGTCTGGGGGATGGAGGGCTGAACTACAAAAGGGGAACCTGCTGCTTTGTTTAAGAATGTACAGATGTTGGCAAGTGCATTTGACAGGAAACACCCCTATCTGGCCACCATACGTGCTAAGTTGACTTTCCTGTTCTTGCGGTAGCCGAAGTCTATTCTGGTGGTTGTGACGTAGCAGGTCATGGCTCTCCATCATGGTGACCTGGGATCTTGGCTGCATAATGTTTCCATGAGTATCTCAGTGTCCCTAACAGTCCCTGTGGCTGAGCATTGCACAGCTTATGCAGCCTACCCATGGTGTAATTCAGAAATAAATACTGTTGTGTGCACAGGCATTACTTGGTTACTCTAGTAAGGATGATCCTGACAGTGTGCTTGGATTAAACTAATGGTTTCTGTTCTCCAGAGCTGGGCCTCTGAGACGATGCTGGGTTTAACAGTAAACTGCAAACAGCTCACTGTGCCTACATCTTTTGACCCAGAGCCAACCAAAGGGGCATATTTCCATCTGCTACAAGCTGCAAGTCTGTTTGTGACCACCAACTGTCAGAGTGTGACTCCAGGTCAGACGGCCCGATGAGATCTGGACAGTGGGTCTGGGGTAGCGTTTTAGCACCACACAGGTCCATGTTCACATGTTGCCTCTCACTAGCACATAGCCTTGTGCTGGCCACTTCGCCATGGTGAAACTCTTTCCACTGTGTGAAGCGGGGCCCCAGATGGTGCCTTGCTCACTGAGTGGCAGAATGGAGCGCTGTGCTTTCTGATGTCTTATCTCTCACCCTTCCAACCCATAAGGCTGCTGCTGCTGCCTCTAGTCATGTCTCCCCCCCCCCTTCCACCCTTCCCTCCGGTGGTTTCTCTAGTGTCACTAAGACTCGGGAGCTCTGGGTCTCAGCAAGGCCTTCCCTAGAACACCTCTTCCTTGGCTCCTGGGCCGGCGCTTCTCCTGTGGAGCTACGGAGAGGTGGCCGTGGGCAGGACCAGGCAGTTCCATGAGCCTCAAAGGTGGTAGAAAAGTCACCACAGATAGTCTAGACAGTAAGGTCTTCCACCATCTTGGCGCCTAAGCCAAGATTCAGGAACTCTTGATTCTCAGAAAAGACTCGCTGAGAGAGCTCTTCCCTTGTTGGCCTGATCACTGCCAAGGTCGTGATCTTGAGTTTGTCTTCGTTTTGTTCCCATCTCTGTGTGCCCTGCAGCACCTCCCACATCCTTCCAGATGTCCACGGTCAGGGCACAGTGTCAGAAAGGTGAGAGTTTTGTCTTCATGGGAAGATGGACGTGGCTGTGCTGGAGGGTGATGGCTCACCAAGTTCAAAGGTTTCCTGGGAGCCAGTGGGGCTGGATTTGGAAACAGGCATGCTGGTGTTCCCTGGTATCTTTAGCACAGAGGCAGAGTGTTTTTCCCTGATTATTATCTGGGTCTTGCTGGAGTTCAGAGAGGGTGACTTAATCTTAAAAGGAGGTCCTGGGAGTCCGAGGAACTGGGGCTCCTCATGCGTTCTTCTCAGCTGTTGTCAGCGCTTCGTTCCCATCATCCCCCGGGAACAGTCAGCACCAGCCACACACACACACACACACACACACACACACACACACACACACACACACACACACACCCTGGCCCAGAAGTCACGGCTCCTGCTCGGCAGATTGTTCATTCCATTTCTGAGGCAGAGAACACATCGTCCCATTTGCTGTAGCTGTTCTGTCTGGGCTCCGCCGTGATCTGCTCTGTTTGTTCTCATTCCGTTCAGAGTAAACTCCAGGGGCATGAAGGTAGAGATGCTGAGAGTCGTGTATGCCTCAGGTTAGAACTGAGCCTCCTTCTGTCCCGCCCTGGGAAGATGACAGAGGTAGAGGGGGCCTTTGCTGCAGAAGATTTGGCTGGATTTATTAGTCTAGGGGGTGTGTGTGTGTGTGTGTGTGTGTGTGTGTGTGTGTGTGATGCTGTATGTGTGGGTGAGTGTGCCACAGGATACTTGTGGAGGTCAGAGGACAACTTTCTGGAATTGGTTTTTGCCTTCCTCCTTTATGTGGGTTCCAGGGACCAAACTCAGGTCGCCAGGCTTTTCTTTATCCACTGAGCCACCTGATCAATTCTCTTATTTTCTGAGAGAGGATCTCATACTAAACCCAGCGCTTACTGATTCAGCTCCTGGCTGGCCAGCTAGCCCTTGGGACCCTTCTTCCCTGTCTCCCCAGTGCGGATTCCACACTGCTATGCCCGGCTTTTTTATGTTGGGTGCCCAGGACTGGACTCAGATCCTCAGGCTGGCACAGCTAGTACTCTACTAACTGAGCTGACCTCCCAGCTCCTCGCCCTGAGTGCTTCTTTACAAAGACTCCTACGGGCTTTGCAAACACAGAGCTTCCCCCCGTAATCCAACCATACAGCATGACCTGTGCTGACTGTGCCACTTTCCTGGCAGCAACAGCCACCACTGGCCTTCTCTCGCCCACAGACACAGTTTCTCGGGGTTTACTTCGTCTCGTCCCAAGAGTTCCTTGGCAATGCCTACGTCCTGGCCGTGCTTCTGTTCCTCGCCCTCCTGCTGCAGAGGACGTTCCTGCAAGCCTCGTACTATGTAGCCATCGAAACCGGGATTAACCTGAGAGGAGCGATCCAGGTACCGGGGTCACACCTGTTTGCCACTTTTGCGGCAGGCCTGCTTTACTCATTCTTGTAGATGAGAATAATTCTGCTGTGAGTTTATTCTTTATGCTCTTCCCTTGTTTAGAACAATGGTTAGTTGGCTGTGGAGCGGGAAGTGCAAAGTACCTTGGGGCTGGGATGGGGACTTGGAAGCCGTGGCAGCTCCAGTTCTGCCTTGGACTAGACTGATATAAGATGTCAGCTGCCCAGTCGTTGGTTCTTCTCTACCCTGGAAAATGGCAGGCATCACCAGTCAATCACCCATTCTCTCCTGCTAGGTACAGACCATGGCCTCAGAATCCTTCTCTAATTCTGGAGGTCTAGCAGATAGCATGCTTGAGATAGGCAAACATATCATAACAGATCAGCAAAACATCTAAGGTCCATTTGAACTCTCAAATCTAGGGTCTCCAAGGAGAGATTCATGACGTATAGGCCTAAGAATTGATTGGCAGGATGGTCAAAGCCAGAAAGGACTCAGCGTCGTGGAGGATGGTGTGATAAGAGCCATCCCAAGCCCCAGGGCTTCCAGGGAGACTTGAGCTCAGTGCTTGCATGGACAATCCTGGATGAGAACAGGTCGCATAGGATAAACGCCTGTCAGTGTTTCACACCCATCCAGAGCAGTGCAGCCCTATACACTCATCTGAGACCACATGTCCCTGGCTTGAAATTCTCTTTGTGCAAAGAGGAGAGTGAGATCAAGTACCAGTTCTGCCATCCCTGTTGATTTTCACAAAGCTGTACAAAATCCCAAAGCCGCCTCATCCATCAAAAGTGTTCTCTAGAAAGATTAGATGTTGGGATCATTTTCGGGAACACGGGCTGATCCTGTGAGAGCCATTCAGAAGCGAGGCCTGAAAGGGGCTGAACAGAAGAGGAAAGGACAGCTTAAACCGAGGCAGTACCAGAGGAAGCTCCAGTCATCGTGACAGTCTGTATTAACGATGCAGATGTGCAAATGACGCTGTCCAGCTTCAGTGGCTTTCCATGGAGAAAGCAGTGTGTGCTCGAGAATATCAGCAGATGTGAGAGGCGGGCACACCCATGACACACCGAGACCCTCTCAGGTTCACGGGGGACTCGGAGCTAAGAAGGACCAAACTGTCGCTCAGTTCTGAACCCCAGCCGTGGGTCCAGTCCCTCCAATGACAGGCCAGCTTGCGCCACCACAACCGATTTTGTGGTTGGATAGTCTTGTCATCGGGTCTGTTTTCTGTTTGTACATCATAAATCACACAGCAGCCCAGTATTTTCCAATTATTCTACAAGAGCCCTCAAATGGGTTTTTAATACACCAGCCTGTAATTTTTTTTATCCAACAGAATCTTTTACATTAATAAGAGAGATTAAATCATGTACCACAAAAAGGAAATGATAGCATTCGTTATGGAAACAAAGTAAAAATAAAAGATCTCTTTCCTTTAAGAGATTTCCAGAAAGTTACCTACAGAAAATGTGCCATTGTAGATGAGAACCTGTATGTAAGTCACTAAGCAAAATCCCTGAATTACACACACACACACACACACACACACACACACACACACACACACGCATGCACAGTTGGTTGTGATTTGAATCAGTGCTTTATTTAACGGATTACTCATGCCCGTGCTTCATTGAAAGTTGCTGGTTAGCCTTTAAAGCTTAATTTCACATAGCCAGGAAGTACATGGAAAGTGCATGAATTTGTCCAAAAATATCATTGCCATTATTTCCAGCCTCCCCCCTGCTGTATATAAACCCCAGAAAGACACAGAAGAGAGTCAGTGCTTTCCGAAAGCCCGACCCACAAACACAGGCAAGCTGAGCTCAACACAAAGATGATTAAAGGCTTTGCCACAGAAGTGTGGTGCGATTGTGTCCCAGAGCAGACGCCCTGCGGACATTGAAGACAGGACAGAATTCTTCCTTGTTCTGGAGCATGTAGCTTGAAAATCCAATCTTTCTGTATGGCGCTGACAACCAGCACATAGAGCTTTTGGGTCTGAGCCCAGAGGCAGCCATTACCCTCCATGCTGCCCTATGAGAGTTTTCAGGGTAGCTGGGTTTCGAGGGATGGTGCAGGCTGACTGACCCGGGTCTGCTGATGCTGACCCCTTGCTTTGTTCCAAGACTCTGTGATGGCGTGACTTGCCCCGGGGTGAGGTGACCCAACTAAAATGGGCTGATCCTCACTTCATCATTTTTATGTCCCTTAAATGTGTTCTGCACCGGTCCCCAGTAAATCAAGAATGCAAATAGATACGAAGACCTGCTTTTAAGATTTAGGAGCTAATTATGTCTTGTCCCCAAGGGAGGTCATGCTTGCTGGGGAAGTAGCTGCTTTGGCCTTGGATTCCTGCCTCTCGACTTACTTGATCTATGGTATCGATCATTGCCAAGTTGTGGCAGAGCTGTGCTAGGGCTCTGTAGAGATATCAGAGAGGCCTCTGGCCCCTCCCAGGTCTGGGGTGGTGATGGAGATGGTAATGAGGACAAATGTCAAGCACTCTGCTCTTCTTTCTAGACCAAGATTTATAATAAAATCATGCACCTGTCCACCTCCAACCTGTCAATGGGGGAAATGACTGCTGGGCAGATCTGCAACCTGGTGGCCATCGACACAAACCAGCTCATGTGGTTTTTCTTCTTATGCCCAAACCTTTGGGCTATGCCAGTCCAGGTATCAGATGGTGCTGGGGGAGCGCCTGTGTTGGGGGCGTAGGTATCAGGGGAGGGGAAGCTGGGAGGCAGTAGGACACAAACCGCTTGTGTCCATTCTGTGTCTGCCTGTGGGTCTTCTATCCCCCGGGGTCTGTCCATGTGGTGTACTGCTGGTTTCCCCAGGGCCCCATGCACTGCAGGCCATCTGGACAGCTCTCAGTGATCATAGAAGGTAGTATCATTAGGACATTGAAAGTGCAGCCAACTTTAAAGGACCCACAGAATAGTCATACAAGGAGCAGTTTTGTAAATACTAAAAGCTGTATGGTAGGGATTTGGAATGTCGCTCATTTGGTAGCATGATTACTTAGTACCTGGATTCAATCACCGGCAACTCATGAATCCGGGATGCTGGTGGAGGCAGAAGGATCAGATCCTCAGGGCCATCCTCAACTACAGAGCAAGTTCAAGGCCATTCTGTTGAAGTTATTTGACTTGGGGTCTTGTTTTGTTGCCCAGACTAGCCCCAAGGTCTTGAGTTCCTGTCATTTTCTGACTCAGCCTCCTGAGTACCTATGAGTTCTAGTACACAGCACCATCCTCAACTGATGGTCATTTTTAATTCATCAGAGACTGTGCCTTCATGCTTACAAAACTGTCCAGCACACAAGAAACGAGGGCTGGGATGTGACTCAGTGGTGGGATATATGCTTAGCATGCATGAGCTCTGGATTGGTTCCTGGCCACCACCCCCACCCCACACACAAATGATACAATCTTAACCTCATGGCAGGAGAGCCCACTGGGTTGGGGCCAGCATGCTGAACCAATGCCAGCCTGGTGACCCAGTGCACTTAGAGCCTTTTATGATACTGAAATTCACTCCTCTTCCGGGATTTTAATCTGTTTTAAAAATCATACACATTTTTAAAAATGACATTTTGGTGGACAGTGCTAGTGTATACTTTTGATCCTAGCATTTGGGAGTCTGAGGCAGGAGGATTGCCTCAAGTTTCAGGCCAGCTGAGCTGCAAAATGAGACCCTGGTGTTGGTGGAGGTGTATCTGGAGGCCCCTAAAAAAGAATCCTGGGTACCCTGGAAGTTTTCTCAGAGTCTGGCACAACCCCAGTGGCTGAAGGACAGAAACCCTGACTGCCTCCATGCAAGCACAGCTCGTGTAAGGATGAAGGGACGTGCCGGGCAGGATTCCCAGGAAAGAGTCAGTGGAGCTATCGAGTAGGAGGCTCATCTCTTAACGCGGCCCTCTGCCCACTGCTCTTAGTCAGTTAAGCACAGGGAGGGGACAGTGGTGGGGTCATTTCACAGCCTGTTACCTGCTAACGAAGGAGGCTGTCTGTGATTGATAGAAAGTGTAGTGCCCCCGCCTACGCCACCCTAGAACTGAGGCCGGGAGCCTCATGCCAGATTGGCACAGGGCTGGCAGACTGCAGGACCAAGCCAGGAGGACTTCCTTTTCTCTCTCTTTCAACTAAGGAGGCCAGCACGTCTGTTCTTCTAGAGTAAGCCATGCAGTTAAAGGTGCTTGTCTTTGACTACAGCCTGGAAGGCTGTTATCTGGGAGCTTTGGGGGGGAGGGGGGGACAGGCAAGAGAGATTTACATTTCTCATGAATAGTCATAAGGAGGCACCACTAGAAGCACACTGAGTTCTTATTTCAAAGGAAGCCTGTTAGGCTCCATCAAAATGGAAAGACACCAGACTCAGGGGTGGTGGCTTACACCTGCAATCCCAGCACTTGAGGAACTGAGCAGGACTCTCAAGTCCCAGGGAAGCCCAGGCTGTGTCACAAGACTGTTTCAAAACAACAGAAACGAGACCTGTCGTCCCAGCTACTTGGGAGACTGAGTCAAGAGGATTACAGGTGAAGGGCTAGCCTGGGTTACAGAGTGATTCGGCACCTGATCCCTACACAGATAACTTAGTGAGACCCTGTCTCAAAATTTTTTTTTTCTTTTTAATGGGTCGAGTGGAAGGGAACAGGAGAACATGCCTGGATAGCTCAGTGATGGAGCACTTGCCTGGCGTGTGAGAGGCCCCGAGTTCAATCCCCAGTAGCACAAAAGGGGTTGGGGTGGGTGGCGATGTACTTCAGCTGGTGGAGTGCTTGCCTAGCATACTGTGATCCTAGTACTCAGGTGGGTGGAGGCAGGAGGATCAGACCTCCAAGGCCATCTCCAGCTACACTGCCTGTTCAAGGCCAGTCTGGGATATATGAGACTCCGACTTTTGTTAAAAAAAAAACAAAACAAAACAAAAATTAAAAGGCAAGCCACCAGGACCATTAGTGCACAGCCCATTCCCAGCGCCTGTGCAGTTCTGCCTGGCATGGATGCCACAATTTTGCCCCTTTGCTCACGGGTAGCTTATTTTGAGTGAGACATCAATCTCAGCAAATAGAATAAATGGTTCTGTCTCATCTCAATTCTCAGACACTCCTTGGGAAAGCAGACTTAGAGAGGAAATGAGTCCTTCAGCTAGCTTTCTGGTAAATGCCCTTGGTTACCAGTGCAGAGTCTCAACTCTGTGTGTACCCAGTATATTGCTTTCCCATGCCTAGTCCTGCGCCCTACTCCATCCCCAAGGCATTTGAAAACTTCCCACTCTAAGGAACTGATGGTGGGGACGGTGCCAATGCCCTCTGACGAGGCAGCCCTGGAGCAAAGAGTTCATCTCCCGTCACATTCTCCAGATCATTGTGGGCGTGATCCTTCTCTACTACATCTTGGGGGTCAGTGCCTTGATTGGCGCAGCTGTCATCATCCTGCTGGCTCCTGTACAGTACTTTGTGGCCACCAAGCTCTCCCAGGCACAACGGAGCACCTTGGTGAGTGTCCCAGGATGTGCGTGTTCCATCTCTGCCTTTCCCCATGTCTACCTCCCTGGCCCTCATCTTAGTAGCCTCTTCCGTACACTCACGGTCCAGGTCCCAGTTTCTATGAAATGCGCTTAACAGACTGGCCAGGAACATATTTGTAGGGCAAGAGCTGGGCAGATGGCAAGGATATGGATTTGGTGCCTTCTCCTGGGCTGAGCTATGGCCACAGGGCCTCTCCCCTCTAAGACACCAACACCACCACTCCTGCCCCCAGGAATATTCTAATGAGAGGCTGAAACAGACCAATGAGATGCTCCGGGGCATCAAGCTGCTCAAGCTGTATGCGTGGGAGAACATCTTCTGCTCAAGGGTGGAGATGACGCGCAGGAAGGAGATGACCAGCCTCAGGGCCTTCGCTGTCTACACCTCCATCTCCAGTGAGTGCACCTGCCTGTAAGCCTCGGGTATCAGGCCTGGGTGATGGGCGGGTTACAGAAGCCAGAGGCCCCTTGACTGACTATGGTGGCTGAACTCCCAGAAATCAGTGTTCTTTAAAACATATTCATGCTGTATGCCTTTAATCCCAGCACTGGGGAGACAGAGGCAGGGAGATCTCTATGACTTCAAGGACAGCCTGGTCTACAGAGCGAGTTTCAGGACAGCCAGGGATACACATAGAGAAACCTTATCGCAGAAAAAAAAATTCCTTTTTGCTGGTTTTAAGCATGCCTATTTATGTGTGGGTATGTGAACATGAGTGCAGGTGCCGTTGGAAACCAGAGGCATGGATCTCCCTGGAGTTGGAGTTACAGGCAGTTGTGACCTGCTGGTTGTGGCTGGTAGGAACCAAACTGGGGTCCTCTTAAAGAGCAGTACATGCTCTTAACCATTGAACCCTTTTGCCAGCCCAGAAATCAGCATTTGTAATTCAGTTAAGCAAATGTGTGGGAGCCTGCCGTGTGCAGGGTTCTACACTACCTATTGTACACACCAGTGAGAAAGAAAGATGAGATCGTTCTTGACGGGCAGCAGAGAGTAAATGAATAGCAAGGGTTCCCGTTGTTCTCACAAGCACACCTGAAGCTACTGCTGTTTCAACCAGTGGCTGTGGCTCTGCAGTTACTGGCCCACATCTCAGGCGGCAGCCGGAGACTTACACATCCAGCTGCATCTGTCTCCTGCTGCTGCTGCCACCAAATACAGTTTTTAACTGAATCTCGGTTGTTCCATTTACCTCGGGAGTCAGAGGCTGGGGTGAAAACCTGTTAGCTCAGAGAGGTTGAGGAGTAACTGACTTCCCCCTTTGAAGGCATCACAGAAAGAGAGCGTCCTCCTCTGCCAAACCAAAAGAGACAGCCACACTCTCAGTCCCTCCCTACTACTTCCTGTGCATCTCTAGCCATCTTCCAGACCCCCTCTGACTCTCTGTGATCACTTTCTGTCAACTAGTTGCTGGCTCTGCCTCCTGACCCAAGGTTGATTTTATTTAATTAACGCAAATTCAAACTCTGGGTTCACAGTGTGATTGAACATCACAAAACAGATTTCCAATTCTTCTGAGCATGAAATTTTTTCAGAGTCAGAAGGAGCTGTCACTGCCCCAGTGAAGCCGTCAACTCTCTGGGGTATGCCAAGGAAAGGGCTAGCTATCTGCACAGAGCAGAAGTCCAAGCTAGCCTTTTCCTCTGTATAAAACCCTCTGGGTTTAGAGAGATACACATATGAAAAACACTTTACAGAATAGAGTGGTAGTGAGCTAATTAATAACAAAGAAGTTAAACTCCACAGGGGAAACTTCACCATCAGCGAGAATCAGCAGGTCCAAAAGCCCCCATAGGAGAGGGCTGTGGAGATTGCTCAGTGAAGTGCCTGCTGTGGCAGTGGGAGGACCTGAGTTTGACTTCCAGAACCCACAAAAAGCCAAGCACAATAGCACACGCCTGTAATCTCAGGACTACCCCTGTGTTGAGCTGGGAGGCAGCAGCCGGAGAATCCCTGAGCTGGTGAGCCTGCTAGATTACCATATGCAGTGGCAAGCAGGAGACCCTGTCAGAGACAAGGTGGAAGTTGAGAATTGACACTGGAGGTTGTCCTGTAACCTCTACACATGTACCACGGCATGTGCACACACACACACACACACACACACACACACACACACACACACACACACACACACTACACAAATACAAAACAACAGAATGCGTTAAGAGAGCCGGGTATGGGGACACACACCTGTAATCTCAGAACTTGGGAGGTACAGACAGGAAGATCATGAGTTCAAAGTCATCCTCAGCTACATAGTGAGTTTAAGGCCAGCCTGGGCTACTTGAAACCCTGTCTCAAAACAAAACTAGCAACAACAGCAGACAGACAGACAGATAAAAGAATTTTTCTCTCAATACCTTGAAATAATAAATTGAAAAAATGAAATCCAAATGATAATGAAGTTAGCATGTTTGATATGACTAAAGAGGTTTTTGTTTTTTTTTTTTAAGAATCAAAAGCAACAAAGCTACATAGGAGATTATCAGGGGAAGAAAACAAAGAACATTCTAGAAGTTAAAATTTTAGTTATTGAAGTTGACTCAGTGTACATTCTCCTGGCCAGAGGAGGGCTCATTGAGGTCAGGTGATCATGGGGCACTGGCCCAAGTTTGATTCAGAGCTGATGCTAATTCATTCTTCCATGGACTTACCCCATGGTGGTTGCTTTCACAACTCATTATTGGGATGTAGACATGTAGCCATTGGCAGACTCACTCTGCTTCCCTGACCTGTCCAAGTTAACACCCATTTTGGTAAGAAAGGCTCAGCCCCAGAGAGAAAAAGGAAGCAAGCAAGCAAGCAAACCAATTCAGTGTCCAGGTTGATCAAATTAATATGGCTGAAGAGAGAATTAGTGATTTAGAAGCTGTGTGGGGTGGTGAGTTGGGAGCAGTAATGGAGGACATGATGGGAGTGTCTCCTAGATAGACTCTTACAATAAGTCCATGTTCCTGGCATTTGTGCTGCCTAGGGGGAGGGCTTGATGGGGCCAGGTAGCCACCATCCATGGCAAGGAATGCTTAGCCGTGAGCAGCTCAGGTAGTCCCTACTCCCACCGTGTACCAGGTCTAGCTATACCTCAGACAGAGCCTGGTCCAGTCAGCAGTGGCTAGGTCATCTACCATAAATGATACGTATGTCTACATAGGAAGGCTTAAGACCCAGTTGTCTCAGAATAGAGCCATGGGCATGGCGGAGTTCCTGGTCTTTCCTTCGTCTTCACCCCCGACCCTCTGGGTTCTCCGAGCAGGTACTAGGCACTCCATGAGATGGAGACATTAGATCAGACCATCTAAAGAAGTCAGTGTCCCAGACCCAGGCCCACTTCTGCCTTGTCTCTGTTGGCTCTGCCCGCCTGCCCAGCCTGGAGCTAGTGTATTTCCATAGCTCTGCCCTGTGTACAGCGTGGTGAGTGATAAGGAAACAGGTACTGAGGAACAAGATGGGTAGGGAGGCTTTTCCCCCTAGGAGGCACCCTCTCCCAGCAACACTGTGGCTCACCATGGCTGCCATGGAGAGAAAGCAAGGAACTTGGAGTCACTGGGTCCCCAGAATTCCAAGTACAGTGGGCATCAAAGTAAAGGCAGCCTCAGTAAGTGCAGTTGAGGGCAGGTGGCAAGTGTATTTACTTGCTGGGTTCCAAACTGCAACATCTTAGGATGTCTGGTCCCAAGGCTAGTTCCTGACCGGCTGAAGCCCATCCAACAGGTGCTGTTTGTTGCTTCAGGCTCGTGGAAGATAAGCCATGGCTTTGGGACCCAGGGTCAGCAGGATTTGGGGAAAGAACTAGAAGGAGCAAAGGCCTTGGAGCCAAGAAGTCTTCCCAGAGCCCCGTACCTGTCCACGAGGCCTGAAGGGACAGGCAGAGCAACACAGGCTGGTCTCTGAAGGGGAGTGAGGAGGCAGCATTGTGATTATTTTCATTATGCATATGTATGGGCTACTACATGATGATTCAAGCATGCACACCCTGCGTGATGATTAAATCAGAGCTGCTAGCATTTCCATCTCTTTAAGCATTTTATCTGTAAATTTTGATTAACATAAAATAATCGTACATATTTATGAGAGACAGTTGAGGTTTCAGTGTGTGTTCAGAATGTGCATACATCAAACCAGGTCATTAATGTACCCACTTCCTATCACTGCTCATGTTAAGCTCTTTGGAGACACTCTCTAGGCATTCAGAAATATGTAAGAAGTTATTGTGAGCTGTAGCCCCCGAACTGTGCGCCCCAAAAGGCGGCAAGGGCAAGTTCTTTCTCATGTGGAAGCTTTGAAAAGCCAACCTTGAGGCTGGGGTGTAGAGCATCAGTGAAGCGTTAGCTTGACACACAAGCATGAGGACCTGAGTTTGATCCCCAGCACTCATAAAAAACAGCAGGTGGGGGCCTGTGCTTGTAAGCCCAGCGCTGCGGAGGCTGAGACAGGAGGTCCCCTAGGACAGCCGGACAGCCGGCCCGGCCTAATCGGCAAACCCAGGTCCCGTGTAAGGACCCTGTCTCAAACAAAACTAAACGGTGGGTGCCTCCCAAGGAACGGCACCTGGGGTTGGCCTCTGGCCTGCGTGTGCACGCACACACGCGCACACACACACACACACACACACACACACACACACGCACACACACACGCGCGCACACACACACACAGTCGGTCTCGATATGGAACAGTGATTGGGAACGGCAAAGAGAGGAGGCTATTGGAAGGTTGCATAAGGGTGTGAAAGCACAGCTGCCCGAGTGCGGCTCCCTGTCCTCAGCAGAGTGCCGAGAGCCCAGCGCTGTTTGCTTGGCGTATTTGTCCTGACTGGGGTGTCTCTTCTGAGAGGGTATGTCGGGTGGGCCCCCCCCCCCAGCTGCAGGCACATGCTTCCTGCTTCAGTTGAGGTCCCTCAGTTAGTTTGTCTTCCTGGACTCCCTGCTTCTCTTTCCAGGGATCAAGGCACAGGTCATTAGGCTGCGCTAATGGGAATCTCATGTTCTCGTCCCTGGCGCCAGCCATGGGGTCCTGGCAACATGAAAGAGTCCTGGCGTTGTGTTTCGAGATGGGGCCCAGCCTGGGCATGCTGGATGGATTTTCAGTCTGGTCGTATACACACGCTGTGGGCAGGCTGTGGGGCAGACATGATTCCTCCTGACACTTTGTGATGGTTTCACGGACAAGGTCATCAAGAGGTCTGGTGTCTTGGGCAGCAAGTGGGGCGGGGGCTAAAAGAGGCATGGGAACATCCACATGCCCAACTTTGCAGAGGAATGACAGAGGAGTCCCGCAGTCAGCCCCAGCCAAGATGCCACCACCTGTCTATGCTGAGCTTTGCTGAAGCCCTGAGCAGGAGGAAGGTGTGGGCAGGGTCTGCACAGTCTTCGGGGACATTGGCCATGAGTAT